ACATCAAATAAAATGAAAATAATGTAGAAGGGAAATATGGCAATAATCCTAAAACGAAATGAAACGCTTTGGCTGACATGTGCCCATCAGCAGTAGAAGAAAAGCTGCTCAACGCAAACATGGCTCCAGTTGAATGATGCAACAGATTGTCAGAATATTTAAGACGTAACACATTTATTTTTATTTTTACAGCGATGAAATTTTTAGTATTGTAATGTTTTGTAATCAAATAGTAACAGACAAAAAGCAAATAATAGAGAGTTCACTAGAATGTAAAAAAGAAATTTCATACAATGTTTTCTTTTTTAATTTTAATATTTCCGTGGGTTTAAAGTGTTTTATCCAGTTTAGAAAGTAAATATATATGCATACATATGTATGACTGAGAGCTTAAAATTAAAATTGAATAAAGATTTTTTGGCAATTCTAGCATAAAAAAGTGCAAGTTTTAGTTGACTGATGGTGTCACTCATTTTCTTCTATAACAAGTATTAAGGTGTCTACACACCTATGCGATTCTGTCGGTGCGAATCTATTCCGACAAAAATTACAACAATGCCGACCATAGTTTTAAATGAGGAACCACACACTTGTACGATTTTGCTGCAGCTATTTTTTCGAACATTCACAGTTCTTCTTTTGGTCGTGCCGAAATCGCAGACTGCCGCGATTTCAGAACAAAAACAAGAGATATTTGATGTGAAAAAGATAAGAATTTTATTTTTGTTGAAAAATATTTTTTGTTTGTCTATAAATTGACAATTTTTACTGCGATAAAATCGCACAGATGTGCGCGTACTTACGTTTTCGAAGCAGTAACGTCTGTAGCATCAAAATCGGTGCGGGTTCGTTGCGACAGAATCGCATAGGTGTGTGGATGCTTTTTTGTCCACTAGGGCGGACGTATTCGTTCGGAGCAAAATTTTAGGTGAAAGTGTATGTATGCAAATTCAAATTCCACGATTAATTCTAAGAAAAAAATGGCGAACAAACTATATACCAAAAGTGACGTTTAACCCTCCCAATTTTCAAAAGAAAAATAAGTATATTGTAAATTTTTTTGGTCGAAATTTATTTTTCTTTGTAACAAAGCATTTTTTTACGAAATTAACAAGCATAACGAACTTGTGAAATAGTTTCTTAAATATGAAGAAAACACAAAATTTTGTAAATGAAAAATGAATTTCGTTTAGAAAAATTATAACAGCCAATTTCACGAAAGTAATTTAAGTGAAAAATGATTTTTTTTTTAATTGTTTATGGAAATTGACAGAAAATAAA